GAGAGAGAGAGAGAGAGAGAGAGAGAGAGAGATGAAGTTGTCTCTGCAACCACCATGGTCAGCAGAATAATGACCTGCAGAGGCAAGAAGGCAATTCGATTCAACTCAAATAAGTAGCCAGTGTTGGTTCAAACTTCAAGAGTCTAACCCAGAGTGGTTTATTTTAGGCATACTTAAGTACAACACAATTTGGTAAAAATGTTTCTGGTGATAATTAACTCAATCCTGCATGCACAACAAAGCATACATTAATCTCCTTGAGGAACAAAGTAAGCTAAACAAATCAAAGACTGCTCAAAACTGTAAAGTCCATGGATTGGTTCTATAGATTAACTGAGAAAAATGTTTATGATAAGGGTCTGGGGGAGGATCCAGTGTGGTCTCCAGCCCCATAGATAACACAAATGACTAGGCTATTAACCATGTCTGCTCCCTGCCTTCTGGGTCTATAACTGGTTATGCATTCTTTCCTTTGAAGGAACAACTCCTGTGTGTTTAATATTCCAGGTTCTCTTAGTGTTTATCTGTGATCACGAAGACCTCTGTGCCTCCTACAGAGAAAGAGGAGAGAAAGGAGACAGAAAGGAGGGGAGGAGGAGAGAAGAGAGTGAGAGAGGGGAGAAAATTGAGAGAGAAAGAGACAGAGAGGGGAGAGACAAGAAAGGGAGGAGACAGAAAAGAGAAAAAAGAGAGGAGAGAAAAGAAGGAGCAGAGAGGGGAGATGAAGAAGAGAGGGAAGGGAGGGAGAGGCAGGAATGAGACAGAGAAGAGAGAATTGAGAGGGAGATGCAGGGAATAGATAGAAAGAGGATAGAAAGTGATGAGAGAGAAAGAGAGAGATAGGACAGAAAGAGAAGATTGAGAAAGCGAGAGGAAAGAGAGATTGGAGAGAGAGGAGAGAGAGACAGATGACTGAGAGTTGAAGATGGGAGAAAATATGGAGAGAGGTGAGAGAGGAATGCGAGAGGAGTGAGATAGGACACAGAGGAAAGAGAAGAAGAAGAAGTGATACAGGCAAAGGAGAGAGACGGGGTAGTGAGGAGAGAGAAGAGAGTCGAAAGGGGAGATACAGGGGGAGAGACAGAGGAGAGAACGTGGAGAGACAGAAAGATGAGAGATAGAGATAGTTGAAAGATACAAAGGATAGAGCAGGAGTAATGAGAGACAGTAGAGAGAGATAATGTAGAGAGTGGGGAGAGAGATGATGATGAAGATGAAGATAGATAGATAGATAGATAGATAGATAGATAGATAGATAGATAGATAGATAGATAGATAGATAGATAGAAAAATAGAGACGGACACACAGTCACACAGACACAGACACAGAGAGGAGCTAGGCACATGTGACATTTTAGGCATTATTGTAAGAGTACAGACACTGGATTTTGATTTGGAGTAGGAAAGGCAAGATGGTGCATGGGTGAGATGCATATTCTGAACCCTCAATCAGGCAAAGGGAGGGAGAGAGTAAGAGGAGAGACTAGACAGAGTTGAGAGAGAGACACAGCGGAGAGAGAGGAAAGAGAAAGGGATATATCTATCTATCTATATCTATATCTATATCTATATCTATATCTATATCTATATCTATATCTATCTAACTATCTATCTATCTCAGAGGAGGAGAGGTGGGGGTGGGGTGGGGGGTAGGAGGGGTGGGGAGAGATAAGAGGGTGATGAGAAAGGTAAAACCAACTCAGCTAGAACCCCTTCCACCTACAAGAGTGCCCTGCAAGACACACCGCGCAATAGTGGCATAAAGTTTGTGAGAATAGCCAACCAACATCTAAGTTAAGGCCCTCTCCATGAGGTGGAACCCATGCCCAACTCGGCGTGGGTGGCCAAGAACCTGAGACTAGATAGTCCAGAGACAATGGGGGAACCAAATACCACTGCTCTCTAAAGGAACCCAGCAATCCAATGACTCCTAATGACATCTGCTGTCCTCATAGATCACCGCCCTGCTCAGCCCTCATCAGAGAAGCTTCCTCCTGCAGGAGCTGAGACAAAGAGAGAGACCCACAGCCAGACAACATGCAGAGAGTGAGAGACCTTGGAATACTCAGCCCTAAAAGGGATGAACCCACCAAATTCCTCCTCTCAGGGCTCAGGGAACTCTGTGGAAGAGGAGACAGAAAGAGTGGAAGAGCCAGAGGGGACGGAGGACACTGAGGCATCAAGGCCTTCTAGACTCAACACACGAACTCACAGAGACTGTCGGCATGCACAGGGCCTGCTCGGGTCTGCACCAGATGGGCCCTGAGCTGAGAGGAGAAGTGGACACGCGCCCTTCCTCTCCCCCTCTCTCTTGGTTCTCTGTCTTCTCTTTTCTCTGTACCTTGCCCCTCTCTCCATCTCTCTCCTTCCTCTACTATTTCCTTCCTCTCTCACCTCCTCAATCCCTGTCTCATTGACTCCTCCCCCATTCTCTCTTCTCTCACACTCTCCTGCCTTTCTCCTCTCTTCTCCCTAAACCCTCTTGCTTCTACCTTGCTATCTCTCCCCAATTTATCTCTTTTCTGCCCCTGCTGACTTTCTGCGTTGCGACTTTTTGTCTCGCCTCTCTCCACCCACTCCCTCATCTCCTCTTTCCTTTCTCCCCATATATACCTTTCTCTCTGCTACTCCCCATCTCTCAGTCCCTCTCTCTATTATCTCTCTCTTTTCTCTCTCATGTCCCCTCCCCTCATTCTCTCTTCTCCCCCTCTTCCTCTTTCTCCTTCCTCTCTCTCCTCTCTCCCATTTGTTCCTCTGTTCCATCTATCTACTCTCTCTCCCTCTTTCTCTTTCCCCTCTGTCTCCATTCTTTCTTCCCTCTCTCAGCTCTTCTAGCATTCTCTCCTCTCTGTGCTCTTCCTCTTCAGTGTTCTCATCACTCTGCAACTTCTGCCTCTCTCTCCTCTTTCTCTATCCCTCTCTCCTCTCCTCTCTCTCCCCTCCTTCACTCTCCATTATCTGTCATTCTTTCCTCTCACTCACCCCATCCACTCTCGTCTCTCTCCTCAATCTCTCACTTTCTGTCCTCTCTCCTCTTTCCTCACTCACTCTCCCTTCTTTATCCTCTCCTTTCTCTCTCCTCTTCATTCTCATCTCCCTTTCTTCCTTCTCCTCTTCTGTTTGTCTCCCTTGTCTCTCTCTCATCTCTCCCAACTCTCTCTCCTCACAGTGCCTCTCACTCTTTCCCACATTCCATTTCTCTCTCCATTCTTTCCCACCCTCCTCTTTCCTCCAGTTGCCCCCTGCCATCTCTTCCCCCCTCTCATCCTGTCTTCTCTATTCAGCCTCTCCCCTTCCTCATCAACTCTCCTCTCTCAGAGCCCTCTCTTCTTGTTCTTCCCCTTTGCCCTTCCCTCCTCCCTCTCTTCTGTCCTTTCTCCTCTGTCCTGTTTCTCCTTTAACTCTTCCCTCTCCTTTCTCTTTCTCATTCTCTCCTCTCTCAGTCATTCACTTTTTGCTCATCTCGCCCTCTTTCCTCCCTCACGCATTTCTCCTTGCCCTCCCTTCTTTTTTCTCTCTCTCCACAATATCTTTCTGCTCTTTCTCCTCGCTCACTCTCTCATTTCTTCCCACTCTTTCTCTCTTCTCACTGTCCTCTCCTCTCTTCTTTCCTCCTCACATCTCACTTTCTTTCCTCTCTCCTTCCTTTCTGTCACACTCTCTCCTCCCCATCTCTTCTCTCCCTGCTCTTCATATAAATATACAAGGAGGGATGAGGAGACAGGGAGGAGAAAGAGAGAAAAGAGAAGGGATAGGATTAAGATTGAGAGAGAGAGAGGAGAAAATGGGATGGGATAGGGAAGGTGAGAGAAAAGAGATGGAGAGAGGCTACACAGGATGAGGAACGGAGGGAGATGGGGAGAGACAGAGGATAGAGACAAAAGAGAAGCAGAGGTAAGATCGTAAGATCGGTGCCAAAGAGAGTCCAGAGAGAAGAGGGGAGAGAACAGAGAAACAGGAACAGGGGAGGGAAAAAGAGAGAGGGGAGGAAATATGAGATAGAGGAGGAGAGGGGGAAAGGGAGAGGAGCAAGATGGGAGAGAGAGGAGGGGGAGAGAGCTGGGGGAGGAGACTGGGCAGTGAGAAAGGAGAGAGAGGAGAAAGAGGGAGAGGGTGGATGAGGAAGAGGAGGGAGAGGGTGGGTGAGGAAGGGGAGGGGGAGGGTGGGTAAGGGAGAGGAGGGGGAGGGTGGGTGAGGAAGAGGAGGGGGAGGAGAGTAAGAGAATAGACAGGAGAGAAAGGAGAGATACGGATAAACAGGAGAGATTGTGAGTCAATGGAGCCAGCTCTCCAGGGAGATAGTTTAGATGTTACAGCTCCACTTGATTTCAGAAAGAGAGGGGGATATAGAGGCTGGGGGCAGTGGCTGGGGCATCACCTAATTTGCACTAAACAGCACGCTCCTACCATAAAGCTCCTAGTACAAGTCGTAGTTACCATATGGGCAGCAGGAGAAGAGTTCTAGCAGGGAACTATGCCGAGGGTCACACTAGAAATACATCAGGCATCCAGGCTTAGGGACAGCTTTCAGATAAGGTCAGGCCTCTGGGCCTAGAGACCTTCTCCAAATAAGGGAAGGTAGATAGTCTCGCTGCGGAGGGAGTCCCCCACGTTATGGAGCTTGGAGAAAGCTGCCAGGCCATGGTAGACTGCAACCTCTGATCAGCCTCCCAACACTTATGGGGGCCTATTACATTTAAACTAACACACTCACAAAGTGATCTCTTCATCTCTGTCTGCCAGGTTAAATATGCTTCAGAAGGGCACTAACATAAGGGGACCTAGTACCAAAGTGCCAGACTTAGAAAATATGAGTCAGGAGGCTGAGAGGCAGGAGGCGTTATGAGATCAGCTGAAGGCAACTCTGAGACACAGACCCTTCTAGGCTCAACAATTCTCTGGAGTAGTGAAATTAAAGAAAATTGGAGCTGAGAATGTTTCTTTTAAGCATGACCAATGAAAACATGACTTCCCTAACACAAACCAAAACCTTTTCACAGGGTAAGGGACTCTCAGAGGTTGTCCCTAGCTTCTGAAGCCTCAGGTTCCACGGAGACATACTGGTTCCAAACGAGAGACGCAGATGACTTACAGACATGTTCACCAAACATGAAGCAGGCAGACGGCAGCAGGAACACGTGTCTGAAGGCTTTCTATGGCTATACTCCAGGAAACATGTCTCTGCCACAGAGGAGTCAGGAGGACCTCTGGCTACTCAGGTGATTCTCAAGGGGGACTGGCATAGAAGAGGACTTAGTTCACTCCCATCTCAATTTTGTAACTGCTTCCTGTTATACAGATAACACACCACAGAAGTTATAGACTCTACAAGTCATCTGCCTATCACTTGAGCAATTTGACACCCACATCCTACAATCACACAAAGTTTGAAGGAGCACCCACCTACCTAAGATGCAGACATCTTTCAATCTATCTGAATAAAGAAGAGTCCAAACTCAACACGGAAGCGAACTCTTTGGCTTTAAAAGGCTCAGAATGAGCAGGGTTAATGTCCTGATAAACCAATAACAATTCCCATAGACAGTCCAATACATGTCAACTCATTGTGCCTGAATGTTTTCCACAAAACATCTGGTCACATATATTTCACATACAAATGCATGTACACACACACACACACACACACACACACACACACACACACAGAGAGAGAGAGAGAGAGAGAGAGAGAGAGAGAGAGAGAGAGAGAGAGAGAGAGAGAGAGAGAGAGAGAGAGAGAGAGAGCTCTTAGTAAATATTAAGATATCCTACAGGGAAGAGAGGTGAGGTTTGATTTTTACATCATATAAAATGCCATCAGCACCAATGTCAATCTACCAATCTGATGCAACTGAACACAGGACTGGGAAGAGATGAGCATCATCTACTACCAAAAGCCAGCTTCTGCATACCTACATCCTTCCACGTGACTATGGTACACAATCCACCTGCTCCTCGTGTGTGGTGGTTTGACTTGGGTCCCCTCCAAGTCATTTCTAATGAATGGGTCTGGAGAGATGGCTCAGTATTTAAGAGCAGATACTGTTCTTCCACAGAACCCACATTTGATTTCCAGCACCCACATTAGGTAGCTCACAACCCCCTGTAACTCCAACTCCAGGGTGATCCAACTCCTCTGTCTTCTGCAGTTACCAGCACTCATGTGCATATACCTACACAGACACACAATTAAAATATTTTATAAGACAATAATAAATGGGGAAATATCAGAGTACTAGTAAGCAGAATAAAACATGTCCAGTGGGAATTACCAGGGGAGAATAGAAAGTAGCAGAGAGGATATATTATGTGAAGAAGTGCCTGAAAACTTGGAATTGTTAACGATATCTTTTTTATTATTAGTATAGCTAATGAAGAAACTCAAGGAATTTCAACGTAAACTCAGACCTATCCTAATGCTCCTTAATACCAAAGTTTGAAAGCAGACAATAATGAAGAATCCCTTGTTGCTGTTCTAAGACAGGTATTTGCCATTTAGCTCAGGCTAGACAGAAGCTTGCAGCGATCCTGGCTTAGGTTCCCCAGTGCTTGAGAACAGGCTTGTGTCATCACAGCTGGGTCAAAAGTGACTCTTGAGTACAGCAGTGTAAGAGACAGCAACACAGGCAAAGACCAGCACTAAGGTGAGGGCATCTGCCACCAGGGCTTTCAGAGACCAGAAGATAGCGAGCTAATGGAGCCGAAGTGGTCAGCAGTTTGGGTGATTCCTGCCAACCGTTTTTACAGTTATGCATATGTCCAAGAGGGAACTGTGCTATTTGGTTGCACTCTGTGTATGAGGGTTCTGAAAAATGTGTGCTTTATATGGTTAGAGGAAATCACTTAAGCATGAGTTTAACTCATGCTCCCTGCAGGTACCATTTCTTTGGCATTATTTCAAAATGGGCATTTATTTGACCTCTCTTTTTTTTTTTTGTTTTGTTTTGTTTTTTTGTTTTTCGAGACAGGGTTTCTCTGTGTAGCTTTGCGCCTTTTCCTGGAACTCACTTGGTAGCCCAGGCTGGCCTCGAACTCACAGAGATCCACCTGGCTCTGCCTCCCGAGTGCTGGGATTAAAGGCGTGCGCCACCACCGCGCCCGGCCATTATTTGACCTCTCTTAAGACACTTCCTGGGGCTTCCAGGCATTTCATCTTGATTGAAAAAAGAGAAAGGAAAAAAGAAAAAAAAATAAAGAAAATCCAAGTATACTGATCTTGGTAAACTGAACATTACACTCAACAGTAATTTAAAGAATGCCCCAAAAGAAAATCACTGTCACTAGATCCAGGGGAAATGGGATTAATGTTGCTAAAGACTTCCTGAGCACCAGCCTTTAAAAGCTGGCTTTGACCTGTGAACCTCAGGCAATGTATGTAGCACTCTGTTTATTAATAGCCAACTCCAATCTGTCAACTGCTTAACCCATTACAGAGGCAGCTACTTAGCCTCACATCTATATAAATAAAAGATAAAACAACACACTGCTACTATAAATCATACAAAATACAGAACATTGGATCCCACAGACATTGACACATATGTGAACTTTAAATCCTGGATAGAGAGCACTAGGCAAATTCTTAATTCTGAAATCACATTCTCAACCTTTTTTTTTTCTTTTACTAGTAATTTCTGGTTTTATTGAAAAATCCAATAGGTTCCTCACTCATATCACAAAGCAATCAAGTCCCAACAGAAGGTGAATGTCAACACATAGCCAAAGCATCACTCCTGCACCATGTATTTTGTGTATCAAGAAGCACACACAGAAGAAGCTTAAAAACTCTTCAAACAGCTGGGCGGTGGTGGCACACAACTTTAATCTCAGCACTCGGAAGGCAGAGCCAGGCGGATCTCTGTGAGTTTAGGCCAGCCTCTCGAGATCCAGGACAGGCACCAAAGCTACACAGAGAAACCTTGTCTTGAAAAACCAAACCAAACCAAACCAAACCAAACCAAACCAACCAACAAACAAACAAAAAACAAAAAAGAAAAAAATGCTTCAAACAGTTTAGTTCTGGAAACTGAAGGCGCCAGCTACCCTATCTGTCTCCCATGTGCAGCTTCAGTAGTCCGCGTCCACCCAGCCTGGGCCTCTGTTGTACACCAGTCACTGGGATGCAGGTGCATGTGGCTGCAATGTTGGTTGAGTATAAAAGCAGGCACACCAAAAAGGGGGACATGAAGTTTGGGAAAGCCTGTTTGGGGTAATTTGGGGGAAAGTAGGTGGAGGATATGGGTGTAAATATGGTCACACTTTGTTGTGTATATGTATGAAATTCAAGACTAAAGACACTATTATTAAAACACAGATACATCGGGGGCTGGAGAGATGGCTCAGAGGTTAAGAGCACTGACTGTTCTTCAGAGGTCCTGAGTTCAATTCCCAGTAACCACATGGTGGCTCACAGCCATCTGTAATGAGATCTGGTGCCCCCTTCTGGCCAGCAATCATACATGCTGTATACATAATAAATAAATAAATCTTAAAAAAAAAAAAAAAAGAGGAAGAAGAAGAAAAACCAGATACATCGGGCTGGAGAGATGGCTTGTTCTTCCAAAGGTCCTGAGTTCAATACCCAGCAACCATATGGTGACTCACAACCATCTGTAATGAGATCTGGTGCCCTCTTCTGGCCTGCAGGGATATGTGTAGACAAAAACACTGTATTCATAATAAATAAATAAATCTTGAGGGGGAAAAAAGGTCTTAAAAAAACAAACAAAACAAAAATAGATACATCATAGTGGGAGAAGCCTGAAAATCCAGGTCTCAGGAGGTTGAGACAGTAGAATCTTAAGTTCCTATCCATCTGGGGCTACACACTGAGACTCTGTTTTAAAGATGAAAAGCCAAAAGAAATCTGCCCAAGTCCAAATACATACATTACTTTGCTTCTCTGTTGTTGTGAGAAAACACTGACCAAAAGTAATGTAGGGGACGAGAGGGTTGCTTCATCTCACAGGTTATAGCCCCTCATCAACGGAAGCAAAGACCATGGGAACACTGCTGACTGCCTTGCTCTCCATATTATCGCAGCCTACTTTCTTAGATATCCCAGGACCACCCACATCGGACTGGGCCCTCCCATATCATTCAGCAAGCAAGAAAATGCCCCAGAGATATGCCCATAGGCCAACCTGACAAAGGTAATTCCTCTCCTGAGCTTCCCTCTTCCCAGGTGACTCTAGTTTGGCAAGTTGTGACAAACTGGCAAGAACTACCAATAGGACATATTGAAAGTCTTTGCCTACATTTTCATACTGTCCCTTATGCTGTTTAAAACCAACCAACCAAACAAACAAAATGTGGGGCCAGGTAATGGGCTCACCATGTACAGGTGCCTGAGGCCCAGCATAATCTGGGTTCAATAACCCTGGACCCACATGATGGAAGAAGAGAACTGACTTCCTTAAGTTATCTTCTGACCTCTACAGGCAAATAGTAGCACACACACTCCCAAACATATATACATACATGTAAAAACACACATATACATACATATACACATGTCTAATTTTAATAATAAAAATGTCAAGGTGATTGGCACCTGAAGAATGACACCCAAGGATGTCCTCTTACTTTCACAAGTACACACATGCACACAGACCTTCTCAAACATACTCTGCCCCATGAGAGTCACTGCCTTGTGATAGCATACATGGGTAGACATAAATGCAGAATGGTCATGAACCCCAATCCCCAAGAATATGCAGCGGGCACTCAGCTCTTAACCATCCCATCAGTCTCTAGCTCAGTGCTTAATTTATTTTGTTGTTGTTTGTTTGGTTTTGATTTTATTACTTGCTTTGTTTGTGGATGTTTTCCCTGCATGTCTGTCTGTACATGCCTGGTGCATGTAGGACCCTTGGAATTGGAGTTATAGATGGTTGTTGGCTGCCCTGTGGGTACTAGAACTTGAATTCATATCTCCAGGAAGGGAAGCTGAGCCACCTCTCCAGATCTCCTATTTTCTAAATAATTTTTAATCTTTTTGAAATTATAACTATAATTTCCATCTAATTACATCAATATAATATACTTACATCTTTTCTCTCCCTTGCTTTCCCCCCACTAACCCCTCCCAGGTACCTTCCCCTTGCTCTCTCTCAATTCCTTGTTTGTTTGCTTTTGAGACAGAGTCACTCTGTAGCCCAGGCAGACCTCCAACTTTCAGGCTGCCTCAACCACCTGGGAGCCCAGGAGTGAGCCATCACATGTAGCTGAAAGTTGGGCTTTTGCTATTGTTCTTGTCATTGTTTGAGACACTATTCTTTTGAGAGAGGGTCTCCTTTGGCTGCACAAGCTAGCCTGTAATTCACAGTAACCCTCTTGCTTCAGTTTCCACATCACAGTTGTGTGCCCCTATGTGGGATATGACTGGAAGTTTTAACGGGACAGTAAAGGCTGAAAAGATGGCTCTGAGGTTAAGATTGAGTTCTGAGTATCAGGTACAG